GCGGGGTGGTCCATTGGCTCTGCGCTGCTGCTGGTTGCACCTGATGCATTGGTGGTCCTTGCCACACTGGCTGCAGGTGTGGGAGAAGCCGCACAACGACGAAGAACAGCGACCTCCGTTGACGTTGAGGCAGATTTTGTGGCCGTCGCTGGTATGGGTGCGACCACTGAAGGTACATGCTGCTGGCTTGGGGAATTGAGATTGGGGACGAAAAGCAGCGTCTTACATTGAGCACGTTTTGGGTGTGCATGGCCTGTGAAAGCTATCAGCCATAGGTTCACGTCGACGTTCTTCAACCTCTTCGTGCCCGGTTACTGGGCCACGAGCATCTGCAGCTGGCGGTCGTACTCTAGCCACGCGCTTGGGAAGAACTGGCGGTTAGCAGTCAGGATCAACTGCTGGTACGCAATGAGTTCAGTAGATCAGCAGTGCGGTGTGGGGCAGCAGCCGTGATAACAGACATGTATGCGGTCCATGCCTCGAGCCGGGTAGCAATATTGTGAACCTTGCGACGCACCTGCTTTGCTCCATCCGACTCAACGATATTTACCTGGCCATCGTTATTCGGGCTGTGCACCAGCCAGATTGTTGGGTCGAAAGTGTTGGCGGCCGACAAAGCCGACTACACCTCGTCCCGTACAAGAGCGCAGAGATCCGTTGAGCCCGCGTGACCTGAGCTGGCGGAGGAGGCATTGGTGCCAGTCGGGCTTCTGGGCTCGCGGGCCGTGTCGCACTGTCATGTTGCAGGGTCTCCTGGCCGGAGCATACCTCACTACCAAGGGCTGGCTGTGGCAGCAAACGGTCCTGTAAAATACTTTTGCTCAGTTTCCTTTCGGATTCAAGCCACGCTGTGAAAGCTGGCCGCGGAGGGCTTGGCAAGGCATTGCCTTGACAGTGTCGACAGTTAGGTCAGACATACTGAAGAAATAAAATGTGGAGGTGACACTCAGGCTGGGCAAGAAAGATTTTTTTTTCTTTTGAGCAAAATGGGCTGCTGCCATTTGTGATTACGCAGCAAAACAAAGTGCATGACGTCAGTCTTGAATGCAGTACAAAGCAATGCAGTGCAGTGTGTGCGCTAGTTCGGATTGTTGCTAACAAGTACTAGCACAGCTAGTACCCCATTAAACTTGCTCCCTGGCGATGAGAGGAGTGTTGATGCTAAGCAGACAGAAGCGCGAGGTCCAGTCTAGCATGTACGGCCGAGTGATCACTCAGAGTACAGGGTATGACATTGTAGGAGACTGTAGCAGGGCTACTGGTGAGGATCAGGTCCAGTGTCGTGCTGGCTGGACATCTTGGGGTTACAAGTATTCGGGTTGGGAAAGAGACTAGATTTATCAAACCGAGAGAGTGAATTCCAACATTGAAATGGTGGAGCTGGGGTGTTGTAGCTGAGCTAACATTAGTGTTGAAGTCACCGAACAGGGTGACAGATAGTTATACCACTGAAGCCCGGTGAAGAGCCTGCTCAAATCTGTCCTGGTAATGAATTGATTCAGCAGGGGGGGGGGGGGGGGGGGGTGATAAATACAAGCAAAAAGGTGCCTCTGTCTGGAGTGGGGCAGACTGATCCACACCCTTTCAATACCATCCACCTTCAGATCTGGCTGTATGGTGACAGGAAGAGTAGCCCTGTAATACAGGCACACACCTCCACCGGGATGGCCGGCTCGATCCAGCCTGGCAAGGCTTTATCCAGATATATCGATCTCATTGTTAGCTACTGTGTTGGTGAACCAAGTCTCGGCCACACCGACAATGTCCCAGTCCATCGAATGCACCAGGTCCGACAGTTCATGCATTTTGTAGCGTAGACTACAAAATTAATGTTGAGGAATGCAATGGTCATATTTTGCTCCGATGTTGCAAGCACTGTTCTTGTAACAGTGGTTTGGAATGCTTTAGCGTTCGGATTTAGAGGTACTAGGGTATGAGGAACAGAGGTTGTCGGAAGATGGTACTGTTGTCAAGTTAACTTAGCACTCAAATGTGCTATTGTCAAGTTAGCACTCAAATGTTATTCCGTTGATTGTGACCTGTGCGCCACTGTTATCCGTATCTTCAGCACCTGAAACTTCGTTACGTTCAGCTGCAGTGGAGAAAACGTTGGCGAGTTTGGCAGCCCGGGGAGTTGCTGGGAATGTATTCTTCCCTGATGCCATGGTGAATCCATCTTTGTCAGTGTCAGGTGAGTGATGAGGTGCCTTCCGCTCAGGTTAATTTGTTTTATTCCCGTAGCTATGCAGAAGACGTTACTTCAGTAACGTCTGGCGCTAGCCAGGGTCCACACAGCTTTATTTTGGTGTTTGTTTGTTTGTTTGTGTCACGCATGGCGTTATCCCGTATCTGTCCCGTACTGTACCGTACCAGCAAAGACAGCTGGCCACAATATTTTTGTTTGTTTGTGCCATCGACATGCCTGGCGCTATCCCGTACCTGTCCCGTACCATCAAGAGTACAGTACCTTCAAGAGAATGAGTATGCATGCGAAGTGTATCGGGGGAATGCATTCAGTGCAGTAACATTTTGTGTGGATTTGTGTGCAAGGCCGAGATCCCACTAGCAGGCTGGCTGGGCCGCCTGTCGACCAGCCCGG